TCCCTACATCTACTAGACACTGCAAACTAAACTGTTGATCCTTCTCATCCTGCTTTCTCCACCTGGTCTTTCTCATCTTGGTAAATGTCACACTGTCTATGGTGCCACATTCATCTCATCCCACAATTAACAGATCAGCAAGATCTGTTGGCATCACCTCCAAACACAACCCAACCATAGCTCTGCCTCCCCACTTCTGCTGGCCCTCTCACACCACCATCACCTCTTACTTGCTATTACTATAGCTTCCTAAGTGGATGCCCTTCTTCCCCCAAACATTTACTAATTAATTCTCCACAGAGCAGTGACTTTTTTTTTCTTTTTATTATGAACCAGATCCTATTACTTTTCTGCTTTCAACCTCCTCATGGCTTCCCATTGCTTGGGAGGAAGGAAGAGCCCAACTACAGCAGAAGTCTCAGCTGACCAAGGCTGAGACTAGAAGCCATAAGAGGGATTATTTTCGGTTTCAATTCCAAAGGCATTTATTTTCAAACTTTCCTTTCTCCCTGGGAATGTGCTAATGGAAAAGGGGTTTGTGTATTAAGGGGCATTTCCGTGTTACTTGCAGTATTATTCAGGAGGTATGTGTATGCTGTTGGTGAGCTCAATTTAAGGCGGGACATACGGAGTGAATTCTAGTAACATCCTCTGATCCACAACAGGGTTTTCAGGGGTTCAATCTGAACCTGACCCTTCTGGCCCCAGGAGAATGAAGGTAGGAGCAGGTCTGTCCAAGGGGGAGGCCTCATGAGCAGGGGAGCAGGAGGGAAGCCCTGTAGCTTCCTCCCCCAAGGGGACCACGCTGCCGCTTGAGAACCATAGGCTCAGCTGTTGGGCCCAAGGCATTAAGGGAAAGTTCAGAGCAGATCCTTAACACAACTTGCTCATTTTCCATTGAGAAGAGGACACTTCCCTGCACTGCTGCCTCTCCAATCAGCCTCTCCACCTTCTCTTTACTTCACTCCATGGCAGAAGCTGAATTATCCAGTTGGTGGAATCAGAACACATTAACCTGGCAGGGTCACTGCTGTGAGGAATCATGCAGCCTGGCTGTCATTTAGACCAAGGGCAGAGCTATTCCCACCTCTGACACTGTCCCCAAGCAGTGAGCAATGCAGGGTCCCACCTCCACCCGGACCCCCACCGCAAGGGCAGTCTAGCTCCTAAAGCTTCCTAACCTGGCCTGGGTGGTGCAGATCAGCCTGACTTGTAGGTCTAACTGTCTTTCTTTCAGTCCTCAGACCCCAGAGCCAGCCCTTACACACACTGGACAGCCACAGCTTCTTAGCTGAGGGATCAGCAGCTTCTGACCCCAACCAGCCCGGAGCACTGGGTGGAAAGCTGGCCTAACAAAGTCGTAGAGCATACTCAGGGTCTAGGAGCCAGAAGCCAGCTGAGAGCTCCATCCCCAAATTCGCTGGAAAGGATAAAGCCCCCAGGCCTTTACTAAGCCATCCCCTGCCATCCCCCTGCCCTCCCCAGTCAAGAAGCTAGAGGAGACAAGGCCCAGAAGAGGAGGCTTTTAATACAAAGAAGTCAGGGGATGGCCTGGGAAGAACTTAAATAAAGGGGATGAGAGAGTCAGGAGCCAGCAGTAGGGGGCCTGGGGGCCCTGTGGAGAGGGATGATGCAGATGGAGTTCCGGGCCTCTTTGATCCGCCACCACCGGCCAAGCCTGCAGGGGCGAGAGGAGCAGCTGAGGGCAGGCCCAGCCCCACCCGGTATCCACGCCATTCCCACCCAGCCACCCACCCTATGCCATTTGCCCCACCCGCACCCCTCAGAGAAGTGCCTCATACCTGTGCTCCTGCCCTACCCCAGCCACCAGAAAGTCCCCAGCACTGGAGAACTTGAGGCTATTGATAAAGCCCACCTGAGAAGAGGGAGGGACAAGGCAGTAAGATGTGAGAACAGATCCCTCACCACAGCCCCAGCATCACAGTCAAAGGCCCAGCCTGGGTTAAATCCCTGCTCTGCGTCCTGCCACCTGGGCCAGCCCTCTACCCCTCAGGGCCTCAGCATCCACCTCTGTGAGATGGGGAAAGTAGAGCGCAGGCCTCACAGAGAGTTTGTGGGGATGAAGGAGACGGTGTACGCCAAGTAGGGCCTGGCTCCTGGTCCTGGCTCTGGAGACTCCATGACCATCACCATTGACCCAAGCCCTGAACTGTCACTAGAAGTCACTGACAGATCCTGCCACTCTGCCCTAGGTTGCACCAAGTCCACACACCCTAGCCTGACATTCAGTCTGGCACCAGTCATGCAGAACCCATCACAGGGCCAGGCCCTCCATGCCTTTGCCCACACTTCCCTGCCTTGTACCCCAGTAACCAGGACAGGGCCTAGGACAAGGAGGGGAGTGGAGGCGGGGAAGGGAGAGGAAGAAGGGAGGGTTCCTGCAGGCCCTGTGCTAGGAGCTGGGGCTAGAAAGAGAAGTCATAGCTGGCCCCGCTCTGAGGAACCGCCCTTCTGGCAGGAAAACACTGTAACGGGCCTTGGGAGTGTGGTAAAGACAGGCTGGGTATTCAAGCCTCACTCACCAGGGGGATGTCGCAGAGAAGGTCAAGCTGCCGGAAACCCTCCCCACATTGCCAGAGCCGCACAGAGTTGCTGTGAGAGCCTGGGGGACAGGGAGACAGTGAGCACCCCCCCTCACCAGCCCACCCTGAGATCCCCTCCTTTCTGCCACACAGGGCACCCACCTGTGGCCACGAGGTCTGTGTTGAGCAGGGCTGCCACCGATGACACCCAGAAGGGCTGCTCCAAGCCCAGCTCCCCCCGCAGCCCATGGGCCTCACGCTGCAGGGCAAGTGGCCGCTTCTTAGAGAGGCCCCACAAGGCTACAGAACTGTGGACAGGGAGAAGGGTCAGTGAGGGGGCCAGGGGCAGAGCAGAAGGGCCACACGGTAGGAAGGGACCAAGTGCACACCAGCCACGGGAAGCAGACAAGGTCCCCTGCGCTCTTTGCCTCAATGTCCTAATCTATGGAAAGGGGTTACTACAGCCCCCGAGCAGGAGGATTCTACGCGGCAAGTCCAGGGGCAGTGGCAGTGGTGGAAGGCAGCTCTTACCCATCGTCTGCACCCGACACCATGTGCTCCTCGTTGATGAGCTGGATGCTGTCAATGGAGCCCCTGGAGAAAGGCACCATGAGGGGCGTGGCCCAACCTCACCCCCAGCCCATGCGGGTGGCCCCCTCAATGCCCGGTGCAGCAGGCCGCCTTACTGGTGGCCGTAGAAGACAAGCTGGGACTCCTCGGGGATCTTCCACACACGCACGGTCCCGTCCCGGCCCCCAGCGGTCACGCAGCACTCCCTGCTCAGAGCATCCAGTGCAGCCACAGCATCCTGGTGCCCGAAGCTGGAGAGGGGGTCAGAGGGAGGATGGGGTCACCCGTGAACCTGCATGCACACATCCGCGTGCCCTCTGCCTGTGCATACTCACAGCGTCTCCACGTAGGAGTTCTCCGCCACATTCCACACCTTCACAGAGCGGTCGTGGGACGTGCTGTAGAGCTGGTGGGTGCCTCTGCGGAATGCCAGCCCCTAAGGGTGCATGGAAAGAGGGCAAAAGGAACCTGGACTACAGCAGGAGAGACAGAGGTCAGGCCCAGGGAGGACGTCCTGAAAAGCAGGTCACATGGCACAGGAAGCCAGCCCCCATCAAGAGCGCTGTGGGGCTCTACGTTGAGCCAGGGGCACACTTGCCTGCCCTCAGGCAAGTACAGACTTCTCAGGCCTCCCTCTCCCTAGGCAAGCTCGACTCAGTCTCCCCCAGCTCTTCCCTATTGCTTCACCCTGTTTCTGTCCTGTTCACCAAAGTGCAGGTTCCCTGAGGATGGGGACCCGCTGCCTCTTTCACACCATTCCCCGGATCCCAGTACCATGCCTGGCCCACTCGGGTGCTCAAGAAACGTCCACTAAAGGAGGCCCAGCTTCTCACCGACACAGCGTCCCGGTGTCCCGTGAAGGTGTACAGGTGCTGGCAGCTCTGGGCCTCCCAAATGAGAATGAGCTTGCTGCGGTCACCTGAGGCCTATGGAGACAAGGGCCATGGCCACGGGCACCCACCATGTGCCCACACCTCTCACCCACTCCCGGGGCCAATCCTGCCTTACCAGGTACTTGCCATCGGAGGAGATGGCCATGCAGAGGACGTGGCTACTATGGCCGGAGGGCTGCCCCTCGGCACCCTTCTTGGCTCGAGGGATCACATGAAGCTTCCGTCCACTTTCCACACTCCCTGACACCAAGGGGGAAGGGAGATGCTACTGGGACACAAGGCAGGACTGTCTGGCAACCCCCCTCAAGGGCAGCGTGGCACCATGGAAAAACTCCTGGCCTCAGGTCAGAAGATCTGGTTTAGCCACTGTGAGCCCCTGGACAAGTCACCTCAGTTTCCTCATCTGTTAAGTGGTGACAACAATCCCAAAGGACAGCCATGAAGCCCGGAAGAAAAGGGACAGGAAAGTGCTTGGGACTGATGGTACGAGCTCTTCCTGTTACTACTATGGGTGGATGAGGACAGCCCTCAGTGGTCAAAGGCCAGGAACCCAGGAGGACCAGGAACTCAATCCCAGGACTGTGCAGAGTCTCAGCTGTCCTCTAGTCCAGCTGCCCAACTGAAGCATCAACTCCCATTAAATCATCATCCTGCCTCCACTCCATTTTCTCCAATGACACTGACAGGGAGCTCACAAGTCCCACTCCTGGGCAGAAGCTTCCACTGTCATCTAGAGAACACCTCTTCGGAAGCAAACCTGTCTCCGGAAGCTTCCCCCGTCGGGTCTCAGTTTTCCCTGATTATTCCTTCCTCCCCAGACCAGCTGGCCCAGATGATCCGTCACGGCTGCACCCCCACCCAGGCACTCACTCACACTTAATAATGGTGCAGTCTTTGGCGGCAGAAAAGATGGCCAGGTCGTCAGGGGTGATAACCAAACATGTGATGGACAGCTGGTGGCCCCGTAAGATTCGAATGTCAGCAGGGTCTGGGGCCTGGATCTAGGCAGGCAGGGACCGGGTCACTGCAACTGGGGGCAAGAAGGCCTGCCTCCACACACACACATGCCATCCTTTCCCACCACGCTGCCCAGAAGGAAAACCGGACCCAGGGCTGCCAAGACCAGACCATTACCTGACCCTGTCTGCCCAAGTGCCCACTATGTTCCAGAGCAAACACCCCACAGCCTGAGTCCCCAGTTGGGCCATCTGCCCACCAACCCAGGTGATTCCCTCCAATCTGACACCAAAGTGCCCTGTCTGCTCACCTCCTTTGCCACCGACTTCTGCAGCCTCCCTCTCTGCTCGAGCTGCATGGAGAGGAGAGGAGTGAGATCCCAGGAGCAGGACCAGCCCCATCCCTTCCCTCCCACCACCCTCCCTCCACACTCACCACGTCCTCCTTCAGCCTCCCCGCCACCTGGTCCTCCTCAAATTCGCGGGCCTCGGCCTTCTCCTCCTCTGTGTAGGACAGACCAAGCCAAGTAAACCCAGGCCAACAACACCCCACTTTTCCCTTCCCATCCCCACCCACCACCTCAGTCCTGGGCCCTGAACATTTGGGCTGTGTCCCATGGAAGTTCAGGCCACCTCAGCCAAAGGGGAGGGAGGGCTGGATGGTCTCCTCCAGCCCACCCCCTGCCTTTACTTATCAGATCAGTCTGAAGCCCCCTGAAGGCCTGGCCCACCCCAGAAGATCCATTAGAGCTCCTAGCCACCCTCCCACAGGGCCGCCAGCAGCAGCAGCCCCAGCAGCCCACCGGCTACCTGCATCAGTCACCCACCAGGTGGCTGGGGCCACAGCAGGCAGACTCAGGCATAGGCCCCGCCCCTCACCTGCCCAGTCCACAGGCTCACCTTGCTGCTTGAGCTGCTCAAGGTAGAGCTTGGCCAAGCGCAGCTTCTTCTCCTGTGCGGTCTCCTCCAGCTCCTCCGCCTCCTCCTCCTCATTCCTCCTGGGAACTAGGCTGTGAGCAGGAGGAACTAGGCTGTGAGCAGGAGGGCTCGGCCCGCTCCTGTGGCCACTAGGATTGTGCTCCTCGCTGCTTCCCCAGCCACTTGACACCCCCATCCCTGCCAGCCCTCATAGCCAATGGTCTCACACACAGAAAACTGAAAGATGTGACTTACCAAACTGAAAGGGCCCAGCCAGGGCCCAACGTAAGGGTGAAAACAGACCCCAAACCCAAAGAGATCACTGTGAAATCTCTCAACTCTGGAGGGAA